AAAATATACTATCTATAAAGATAAAAATATGCCATGTATATAAAAGGTGTTGCATGCATGTGTTCATGGGGGTAGAATTCAGAATAGCTGAAACTGTGGAAGTGCCCAAGTGCCCATTATCTGGGGAAAGAGTAAGTCAAGTGTAGTATGTCCATACAATGGGAGAGTATATGACAATAAAAAGGACCTACGTCTCGATATAAACCCCAACACATGAGCATCAAACACATTGCACTAAGTGAAAGAAGCCATATAGAAAATCCACATGCTATAAGATACCATTTTCAGGAAAGGTTCAGAACAGGCCTCTCTACAGAGACAGAAAGTAAGCTATTGGTTGGTGGGGCTTGGCGGTGGATTTCGGGAACAATGGAGTGAGTGCTAATGGGCACAGCCATTCCTATAGGGAGGTGTGGGAATGCTGTAAAATTAGATTGTGCTGCTTGCTGCACAGCTCTGTAATAAACCAATGATCAGGGAATTGTGCCCAGAGAAAGATGAATTTTATGGTAGGTAAATTAGACCTCCATAAGGCTTTTAACAGAAACAGAAGAGGCACCTTGAAACTCTGAGAAGGATGCATTCTTCCCAAGGCTGCCCCAGAGAACAGCCTCTCTCCACAGCCCCTCTGGCCAGCATTCTTCCCACAAAGAATGACCTCAGACCCTGAGCAGACCTGTTTTCTTTCTCATCCAATCTGAGCGAGCATCTTGCAAAGCGTTGATCTCTGGGGGCAGAAGTCTAACTTCTTTATTCACAGTCAAAGGCGCAGAATCTGGGTCAGTGGAAAGCATGCCTTCTCCTGAGGATCAGGGTCAGGGAGCAGGTGTCAGTCTTACAAATTATTAAGGAGAGAGCATGCAGGCAGTAGCCTACAGGGGTGGTGAGCAGCAGAACCGTGCCATCAGCCTCCTGGCTTGGGACTGGGAAGGTGCTTCTTTTCACAAGTCTGCTCTAGCAAAGATCTCTGTCAAGGGCAAGCAAATCAGGCAGGTAAGGCTTCTGGGGAACAGACACCAGGATGCAGAAGTCTTCTAGCCCTGCAGTTTGGGGAAGCGGAGGGTACTCCATGATGGGCAGACACTGCAAGAGTTCAGATCAGGTCCCAGGTGCCTGAGATTAAGAGTGATGGGCCTGGGCTGAGCATAAACTAGCACTGAGTTGTCAGAGGCAAAAGGACGGGGGGTGGGGGGGCTGGGTTTTACTTAAACTCGTGTTGTGAAGTTGTCTTAGTTACTTTGCTATTGCTATGACAAAACATCACGACCAGGGCAACTTATAAAAGAAAGCGTTTAATTGGGGTTACAGTTTCAGAGGGTTAGAGTCCCTGATGGTGGAGCAAAGGCATGATAGCGGGATTTGTGATCTCACATCTTGATTCACAAGTATGAGCCAGACAGAGAGCTAGCTGGGAAGGGCATGCATTTTTAAAACTTCAAAGCCCACCCCTAGTGACACACCTTCTCCAACAAGGCCACACCGCCTAATCCTTCCCAAATGATTCTGCACACTGGGGACCAAGTGTTCAAATACATGAGCCATTCTGCAGGCCATTCTGATTCAAACTATCACAGAAGTCATTCTAGAACAAGGCTTTTCCTTCCAGAAGAATTGTCCATCTTTCCACAACTTCCCCTGAAACACATTTTTAAAAAAATTTTTAAATTTTAAATTAGTGTCTATTTATGTGTGTCTGTATAGGAATATGTGCATGTTAGTGCAAGTGTCCACAGAGGCCAGAGAGGAGCATCAGATCCTCTGGCGCTGGAGTTACAGATGGTTGCAAGCCACCATCATGGGTGCTGGGAACAGAACTGGAATCCTCTGGGAGAGCAATATGTGCTCTTCAGTACTGAGCCATTTCATCAGTGCCGAGAAAATACTTAAATTATTTTATTTTTTATTTGTGTATTTTTTATTGTGTTTGTGTTGCATGTGTGTGTGGGTACATGTGTATGCACATGTGTGCAGAGGTCAGAAGTCAACACCAGGTGTTTTGCCCAATTTCTCTCCTCCTTAGTGTATAGTAGAGTTTTCAGAGTTCGCATGAGTTGAACCAGCCTGCAGAGGAAGAAACGGGGCATTTCTGTATACTCTTCTAGCTCCTTTGCACCTCCCACGCTGATGCATAAACACTGTGTGGACTGCTGGTACCATGCCTTCCTCGGCATTGTCTGTTTGTATGTTCTGTGTGGGTGGAATCGGCACCCTTGCTGCTCTGGATCTAGCTTTTTGTTGTTGCTGTTATTCAGTCATGTGCTTGTGAGGTTCATCCAGGGTGCTGTGTGCAGTAGTCCCTTCAATATTGCTGGGTGAGACATATTCCATCATTTGAACACATTATACACTAGTTAGCCATGTGACTCCTGCTAAGTGTCTGAGTGGCTTCCAGTTCAAGGCCATTATGCTCTGTGCTAATGCTACAAGCATTCTGATGTCCCTTGTAGGGTGAGCACAGGGCACATTTGTGGTGGGAGTGGAACTCTTAAGTCATAAGGTCTGCACATGCTTGAGTAGACATTGTTCACCAGTGTCCCTGAGTGTCTGGAGAAGTTTTAATGACCAACACAGAATGTATGGAAGAGACAAAGCCCAACTCCTACCTTCCCTGTAAGGAGAGGCGTGCACTGAGTGCTGGTATGGGAATCTACATCACCCCAGTTCATGGGTTGATCCCTGATGAAAAGTGCCTTGAATATGACTGTATTTGGAGACAGAAACTTACAAGAGGTAGATGGCTAATACAAAATGGGTACTTAGAGTGGTCCTCCATCCAGTCTGACTGGTGTCCTTTCAATAAGATGAGATTAGGATACACAGAGCCACAAGGTGGGCCGCCACTGAGGACACTGGGACGTAGGTTTCTGAAGGTCTGTCTGTTCTGAAGACTCTTTCCTTCTTACGGGTGCATGCTCTATATCCCTGACAATCTGAAGGAGATATGGCATGCTGTCTTCTGTCTACTTAAACTGTCATAACAAAACACCCTAACAACAGCAACAATAACAACAAAAGTAGGCAACTTGGTCATAGACACTGATTTCTCACAGCTGAGAAGTCTTAATATCCAGGATCAAAAGACCCTCTTCAGGGCCTCTTCTTGGCTTCCTGACACCCATGTCTCACTGTCTTCCCATGTGGGACTGTCCTAGTTTGCTTTCTGTTGCTGTGCCCCAAAGAAACTTGGGGAAGAAAAGGGTTTATATGGCTTACACATCCCAATCACAGCCTATCACCAAGGGAAGCCAAGGCAGGGACTCAAGCAGGAACCCGGAGGCAGGAATTGAAGAAGCAGAGACCAGAGAAGAATGCCACTTACTAGCTTGCTCCTGGTGGCTTGTTCAGCTTGCTTTTGTATATAACACAGGACCACCAACCTGCTCAAGGGTGGCACCAATCACAGTGGACTGGGCCCTCCCACATTAATCATCAATCAAGAAAACACCCCATAGACTTGCTTACAGGGCAATCCGATAGAAGTATTTTCTCAATTGAAGTTCTTTCTTCCTAGGTGACCCTAGCCTGTGTCAAGTTGACAAAAAGCTGACCAGCACAGAGGATAGGGGAGAGCCAGCTTTCTGGTGTCTTTCCTTGTATGGTATTGTATCAATTGCTTTTCTGTTGTGATAACCACCATAACCAAAAAACAATGTATGGGATAAGAGTCCACGAGAAGGGGAGGCATGGTAGCAAACAGCAGACATGGTGGCAGGAGCAGGAAGCTAAGAGAGCAAACGAAAGTGGGGGAATCTACATAGTCTCAAAGCCTGTCCCTAGTGACATAGCTCCACCAGTAAGGCTATACTACCAAAACCTCCCCAAACCACACAACCAGGCGGGAACCAAGCCTTCAAATTTCCCAGCCAACAGGGGGAAATTTAGACCACAACAAGTGATGTCTAACAATTAATTTCCTCTTAGATAAAACTGTTCTAAAGGGAGGTAAAGCATGTCATTGGGCAGGGAAGCTTGTGGAGCTTAGGAAGTAAGCAACTCAAAGACTTTAGGAAGTTCCTGAAACTGACAAGATTCTTTAGGCCCCTTCCTCTCCAAGCATAGGTAAGCTACAAGGACTGCCAAGAGCCATTGGCAGACCAGCCATACTTCTTGGAAGAAGCAGAGATCAGATGAGCTGCCTGGAAGAGCCTCAGACCAGCTGAGCCACCTGGAGAGGACATTCTTATTGAGCTGCCTGCAGGTTGTGCAATGAGTCCCTGGTTTCCAACTTTCATGAGCTGTCACTCAGGCTGTGATGGGCTGTGGCGATGCATCTGTCTTTGAGTCGTTCCTACTCCTGTAAGCAACCTCAATAAAACTCACGTTACACTTTGGTGGAATCTGAACTTAGGTCTGTGGTCAGTTCCCTATCTGTGATGAGTATATATCTGTTCATAGCTCCCTAGGAATAGTGTGACACAATATAGGGACCTTCATCTCTTCAGACCAGGATCTCGCTTTCATGCAATGCTATCTCCCAAAGAGGACAAGCCTCAGCTATCACATGGAGAGGTAACACCTCAGCACAGGAAGAGGGGCACAGTAAACACATAGTATGACTCTCTGAAACAGTCACTTTGGCCAAGCTCTTTCCAGTTTACAGAGGCCATTCCCGAAAGCCATCTCACCAGAGACACAGGAGAGCCTAGTCAGGAGGGGGCTGAGAGTGCAGGCCTTCCACCCATCGAGCTAGCTCGCCCTTGTCTGCATCAAACTGTAAAGCCAAATCCAGCCATTTTCAAATAGCAAGGGACCAGGGCTGGACCTCACACTCTTCTCTAGCACAGAGCAGAAGAGGAAAGGAGACTCTGCGTGGCTGAGTGAAGGATTGCACACAGACAGACTGTGGCTGAATTGTGCAACTTCTGATGGACCCAGAAAGGACAAGGCTGACCTGGAGCCAGGCCAGCACTGGGGCTCTGGGGCTCTTCGAATTTAAAGACCCTGAAAATGTCCTTGCTTTCTTAACTCTGCATCACTTACATCTCCCTGTGCCCTCACAGCCTCTCTTTCACCAGATCTCTTTGCCATTTACCGAGGACTACAGTGCCGCTCCACTCACGCAGGTCCCATTCCAGGAGTGATTGATGACCACTGGACACACACAGATGGACGCCGAGAGCCACGTCTGCTCCTTCTGTGCGCCTCCGTGGCGGCAGCGACGCGATTTTTCATGTGCGTGTTGGCTTCTGAGTCCTCGTCGGGCTCCCGAGCGTAACCAAACCCAGACAGGCTCCGTGAGATGAAAAATAAAGTACAATGTTTATGATGCCATGAAATGCCTTCTTTTTCCTCCTAAAAAAGAAACGTATTTATTTCTGTGTGTGTATGGGTTTGCGGCAAGTGTGGAAGGATTAAGCCTTTGAAACTGTCGATTTATATCCTTGAGTAATATGAGGTCTTTGTCTTGCTGGAGAGAGCTTTCTAGATTGGAAAAGTGAGAGTCAGGCCCTCTACTCCATCCCGGGGGGCTCATTTGTTAAGTATTTAAGGAGCATCTACTGGCCAAAGCTGGGGCGCAGGGCCTGCAGGAGAGGCTCCATGGCTGTCCTGGTGAAGCCAGTAGTCTACAAAGTGAGTGGTTCAGCCAGCGGGAAGTGGAGGAGGGAGCTTCCTGCGGAAGGATAGGGGAGGGGATGCTGAAGGATACAGAGGAACCAGCCTGTGGGGGCAGGTGGAGCATAGCATCAGGAGTGGTATCCTCAGAAAGGAAGGTGAGTGGTGTTTGAGTAGCTGGGCCTTACCAGGAAGGCTGTATTCAAGGTACCGAGCTCTGGGTTCAAATCCCAGCTTTGCTCCATCTCTTCTATGTGGCCAAATGTTGAATGGGGAAAGAAGCTGTTACCTCCTCGGTAGAGATATGGAAGGGAAGTGCTATTAAGGCAAGGAGTGGGCAGCAGTGCCCAGCATGTAAGAAATGCTTTCAAGTCATCACCTACTTACTTTCTTGAGGCTTCAGTAGAGAAGGAAAGAGAAGGCAGAACAGAGTGAGCCAGACCACACCTTGGTCTGCACCTCCCTATGGTATAGGAAGTATAGGTCTCAGGGCATGCTATGACTTCTGGAGAGAGAACCAACTAGTTGGTCCAGAGAGATACTCTCTTGAGAGATGTATGCCCAAGAATTCCAAGATGAGAGGAGGTCCCAAAAGGACCTCATCTGAGGAAGTATGCCCAAATTACAGGAAAGGAATGTAAGAAACCCACAGCCAAGGGAGGGGTGGTGTCCAAAGAGTCTGCAGGGGCTCCTGTCGAATGTCCAGAGGGGGATAAGGAGCTGAGTTGAGGTTGGGCACTGGGCCTTTGCTGAGGAGGCCACCTGGGGTGAGGTGGTGGACCCAGGGGTAAGACCAGTGCCCATGCCAAGCCTCTGTAAATGGGGCAATGTCCTGAGTTCGGTGTTATCTGTCTTTATGGAGCTTGGGCGATGGGGATAGGTGCAAGAGATAGATGGGTAGGCAAGTGTTGACCATCAGGATAGACAGGGGAAGATGAGAAAGAGGAGGGTGCCTGGGACCCTAGAGCAGAGCAGCCTCACTCAGCAAGGGAATAGGGCCAGGTTTACGGAAAAGAGCCTGTACACTGAGATACATAGGATGGCCAGGAGTTGGCAGTCAGGAAGGACCCAGGGAGAGTGGTCCAGGGCAAGAGAGAATGTGGGTACAGGCCCGGAGGACAGAGGCAGCTTCTGAGTGTGCACCCAGGGCAGGAGTGAAGATTCAGAGCAGGGAAGTGTGAGTCAGTCAGGGAGACTAAGACATGACCTTGGGTGGGGTTGAGGGACTGTCTGGGAGAGGTGGGTCTTTTAGCAGTTAGGCTGGGCTTAAAGGACACATGGCTTAACCTCTTTGAGTAGGTTCCCCTCTGTGTATAAAGTTTCTTGTGAGGACATCCTTTTGTTCGAACAGATACTTACTGAGGGCCTCCCGGGGAGCTGGGATGTCTAAGTTGCAGAAGAGAGGACAAAGGCCCCTGACCTCATGGGGATGCAGACCGGGATGCAGTGAAAACATGGAGCATGGAGAGGGCAAGCAGGTAAAGGTTGGAGGTCTGGGAAGTTATGCGGGATAGTCAGTGAAGAGAAATTACCTACAGAGTCTCTGCTTAGAGATAAACATTGTTAGTATATTGGGTATCTCCTTCTATTCTCTTTTCAAAAGCAGTGGATGTTTTAGTTGTATACAGGAGAAAATAAAATCTCTGATGTCTTGGAACATATGGACAATCAATGCTATTGTGTAACAGAAGAATATAGGTCAAGGCAACCTGCTTAGCTCTGATGTTCTCCCCAGTATCAGCTTTTGCAAACCAATCAGGAAGCAAACCTGTGGCAGATCACTAGATACCAGTTATTCTCTGGGTTACCCTCTTGATGTTCACCTCACTCTTCTTCTTCATCTTCAGGATGCCACCTGGCTCCATGGTCTCTATGAATTTTAGTCAAACATTCCACTTAGTAAATAGTTATCCACTATGCTAGGAAAACACACATACACCATCCCAGCATTTGGGAGGCAGAAAGGCAGGAGGATAAGTAGTTTAACATGATTTTTGGAGGGTGAAAGAATGCAGTACTTAACATGGCCTTCTCACTGGGGTAACGTTTGTTCTCTGGTGGGACTTGTTGGCACAGTGCTCATCAGTGGGAAAATAAATCCCAGATCTTCCCTTTGTAGAGACAGCTTGGGGAGGGAGAAAGGTAAGAGTGGCCATTTAAGGTCAGGTTCTACTGATGGAGGGTGCCCGCAAGGTTCACAGTGACGCACTATTTTGTCTTTGACAGGGAAAGGGTTGGAGGCTATAAGGCTTGTCATGATAAAGGGGGAGAAGGTGAGCTGAGAGGAAAGGGCACTAAATCACAAGCTGGAGCTGTGAAGGTCAGAAAGATCTTGGGGATAGGGTCACCAGTATTGGTTTTTGGTTTTTTGTGTTTTCATAGGGCTGGGGATAGAACCCAGGGCCTGTCTGGGCCTGGGAAGTGATATACCACTGGGCTCCATCCCCAGCCCTTGGGTTTTGGACACAGGGTTACAGTATGTCGCTTAGCCTGGCCTGGGACTGTGTAATTCAAGCTGGCCTTGAATTTGAGATCCTTCTACCTCAGCTTCCACGGACTGGAATCCTAGGTACCTGGTCACTAATTTTGAGTATCCCACAGGTGTGTGACAGTCACCACCATCTACCTGCAGACCAGGTTATCTTTCATAACTGACACTCCAGCCTGATAAATACGAATTCCCCATTTGTCCCTCCACCTGCCCCACAGCCCCTACTCGGTGCTCTGTCCCTGGGGCTGATGTCTCACAGCGCCTCACAGAAGTGGAGCCACAGTATTGCCTTTTTGTTTATTTCACTTAGCATAATAAACTCAGTATTGATCATCCTTCATTTCATCTTTCTAGACAGAAGCTCATCAATGGGCCTAGGCTGGCTAGCCAATGAGCGCACTCATCAGCTTTGCTCTGCCATCCGAGTGCTGAAGTTGCAGAGAGGTTCAACAGTTGTTGGCTTTTGCATAGGTGCTGGGATCTGAACTTGGATCTTCACACTTTCACAAACTGCTCATCCCTACCTTTTATTAAAAAAAAATAAGAGCCTGGGTCTTTTGGTCTCCAGTGCCCATGTGTCTCCTCCACCACCAGGAGCACTTCTGGTGAGGAAAGGCATGCTGAATCATAGTGAGGTGGGGGTAGTCTCTGTTCTCTGCATGAATTTGGAGGGTCCGGGCACTCTGGCTTCCCTGACTCTGAGTAAGGCTGGGTGGTGCCTCTGTGTCTTGGTCCTCCCCAGGGTCTCAGCCTGGATGACCCACATCTGGTGTCAGTCTTCAAAAGGCTGTTATGATCCAGGATGTCCTGTGCTCAGAACTTTAAGAATGAGAATTGGTGGCTCCAGAAATGGCCATTTCCCACCAAGACTACAAAATGGGCAAAAGGAGGTATGGCAAATGTGTACCCCTGGGTGGGACTCATGCCAGTCTCCAGGAGCATTTGGACGCAGTTGCCCCTGCTTTTCCTCCAAACATCTGATGCACTGCTATTTTTCACTGTCTCTAGTGGACTCTCCGATGATCCCTCTTCCTTTTTCAGCATAAATCCATGGGCACTCTCTACACTGACACAGCCTGACTGTAGAGCAAACAGTGATACAGACTCAGGGAAGGAGACAGTCCACTCCTCCAGAGGCTGGGGACTCCCAGGAGCAGGAACATCTACTCAACTGAGTGCACACTCTGCATCTGGACTCCATATGGCTCATACCCGTCAGACCCAAACCCTCAAAATCAGCAAGTGGAAGACCATGGGGAGTGAGAACAGACCCAATAGTGAGGTCTAGACAGAATCACCCTGGCACAGTATAAACAGGAGCCTCTACCATATTGTCGGACAGAATCACCCTGGCACAGTATAAACGAGAGCCTCTACCATATTGTCAGAGCCTGTTTTCAGGTTCCTCATGGCTTTACCCAGCAGGTCCGCATAGAGGATGATTAGGGCCACAGGCCTGAGTGCAGGTGTCTGAAATGGTCTGCACTTGGCTGTGCTGGGGGAGGAGGTCTTTTGCTCCACCCCTTGGCGTCTCTATAAATACCCTGGGGCAAAGACGGTCAGGGCCTGTTGGAAAAGGTTCTAGGCCCTCTCGAGGCTATCCTTTATTTTCTATCTATTTATCTCCACAATCTAAATGCTTCTATCTAATATTTCCTGCTGCTCGCACTCAAGAAAACTCTGGGGAACTGTGGGGTTGATGGGTAAACGCCCCACACCATATCACACCAAATTCTGCACAAGGGCACTTGCATAATGAGAGTAATCAGGGCTTAGTGAACCCTCCAAGGGCCAGGCGGTGGTCTAAGCATACTGCATTCATTGACTCAATTTAATACCCTCAGTGACCCCGAGATTGTGATGATCCCCACATTGTAGATGAAGTCATGGAGCCTCAGTGACATTCTGTTTTCCAATTTCATGCAGCTAGTATGTGGGACTTGGGTTGTGAACTTGGGCATTCTGAAGCCAGAGTCTGGGCTCATGGGTGCCTTGCCATTTGACCCTAAAGCAGGCTGGTTTGAATTTTGCGAGGATTTGGGCATGCAAGGTGTAACAAGGAAGGCAGAGCAGATGGGAACCACCAAAATGGTGATCCCCAGGACATCCACTGCTGAGCTGGCATGTTTTGGATTATTTCTGTCATTTTACCCTCTAAAACATGCTTGGGCAACACACCTGAGCCTTGTGCTGGAGTGTGGAGTGATGAGAGCTATGGCTAGTTACTTCTAGTGTCTTGTTGCCTGGGAGAAGACTGTAGCCTGAAGGACTCTGGGTAAATTTGGTTCATAAAAGAGGAAGTGAGGAAATCTGCACACAGACTGAACTGAGGTTTTCAGTTCTGAAATGCCTATGACTCAGTGGTGCAACAAGGAGATATTTCTGAGTATTGGTGCCCCAGCTGATGAATGCAGCCTTCTAGCATGGATTCAGGCTTGCCTCCCCTTTGAATGGTTTGGAATTTCTTGCAAATACCTGGTTCTTGCAGACCCTGGGATTTGGCTGCTGATCCTGCAGACCAGCCATTTCGTGGCTGCCTGAGACCCAGTGGGGACTTTGAGGGCTCCCTTCTGCCCAAACCTACACTCACACCCACATCTGACTACTTGTTCAAACTCCTGGAATACGGAGTTGTGGCTTGAGCCCAGGGCCCAGGAACCCTCTGTCCTGGAAGAGGCAGCAGGCAGGCCTGGCCTGGCGTTCCTGATGGAGCAGTCTGACTTCCCTGAGCATTGACAGCTTAGGCTTCCGCTCTTTCCCATAGGCTGGCTGTGAAGGCTTCCGTGCCTGGCTGATCAGACAAAAACTTCAGCAGGGAATGGCAAGGCAACTGTTTCCATCCCCACGCAGCGGCAAGAATTCCAAGAATTCTGCATGGCCAGTGGCACAGGCGCACTGCCGAGGCCTGTCATGATGCTGGGGTGACCTCCTCAGGAGAGTCTTTTCTCACCCTAAGAGCCATGTGCTAAGCAGAAATCTCATGGTTTCAACCCAAAACATCTCCCATAGGCTCATATTGTAGAATGGTGGCTTCCCAGGTGGTAATACTGTTTTAGGAGGCTGTGGAGCCTTTAGAAGGTGGGAAATGGATGGCAGATGTGGGTTACTAGAGGTGGGCCTCTGAAGGTGACAGCTGGGCCCTGGTTCTTATCACTGTGCTACACAGTCCAATATTGAACACCCTCTACCACATGCTCCATCATCCTGAATTCCACCAGACCTGCCCCACCACAGTGGACTGAGACTCAAACTGTGAGCAACAATAAACACTTCCTCCCTTAAACTGTTTCTGTCACGTATTTTCTCACTGTGACACAAGAAGTAACTGATACAGAATCTACAGGGAAATGCGGATTAAAGATGATGAACTAGTCAGTTGGATGATAACTTCCAGCCACAGTAACGGTGGGGTCATGAACCAGGAAAAAAGAGAAGGATGATTAAGGCAGTTGATGGGGACTCTCTGGAAATAAAATATACCTGAGAATCTGGGAGAGGATCATTAGCTAGCTCATCCCAGCACAAAGACATTGGGAAATGATCTCCCAGCCAGGTGATACTTCCTACTTTCTAAGTCTGTTTCCTTTGCTGCTTTGTAAAGACTTTATTTTCCTTTAATTGTGTGTAGGTACATGGGTGTAGGTACCAGAGAAGACCAGAAGGGGGCATTAGGTCCCTTCGAGCTGGAGTTACAAGTGGTTGTGAGCCACCTGACATGCGTCTTCTGCAAGAGCAATAAGATCTCATAACTGCTGAGCCTTCTCTCCAGCCCGTCTTTCTTTACTATGATCTCCTTATCCTTTTTCCCAGATCGGGGAGGAGAGCAGGCCTTTCACACAGATGAGGGTCAGGGGAACATTAAGATTTACCCAGGTTACCACAGCTAAGTTGTGCAACACAGGCCCAAACTCAGCTCCTCACCTGCCTCAAGATCCTTTCCTGTGACTCTGCATAGCACTTGACACTGTGGGTGACTTCTGAGCATCCAATGGAGAAGTGGGGGATCTGGTGGGCTGAATACTAGTGCCCATAGCTATTTGGTGGCTGAATACAGAAGTCTCTGGAGAACATTTGTCAGAAGGCTTTTGGGTAGGGACTTCCAGGAGACACCACAGTGTTTATCAGACTTCCTGATAACGAAGCCAGGAGGGACAACCAATAACACGCTGGCTGGAAGGCTGGAAGAAGGGAGAAGACCGTAGAACATTTGATGTATTCATGGCACTGTGGACTGCGAGTCAGACCAGCTGCAGAACCTTGGGCAAGTTGCTTAATGAGAGCAGATGTTCACTGAATGTCCCCTCCCTCTCCTTTCTTCCCTCTGGGGAAAAAAAAAGACAGAGATAGGGCTGCTGTCTTTGAGTGTTTAAAGCTCCATTTGACTAAAGAGGTGCTGTCTGCACCATAACCTGGAAGCTACCAGCTGAGCCCTACGGACTGCCAGCCTGGGCTCCTTTCCTAGTTCTGCTGCTGTGTAGTAGTTTCCAGATCTCAGGCAAGTTGCACCCTTGAGTCTCTCCTGTGAAACAGATCACAGCAGCACTGAGTCCCCAGGACCACTATGGAGCCTACTCTGAAAGGCAGCCAGATGCTCACATGCTGTGAGAGTGTCCTTTACTCTTGGGGCCCCAGCATGTAAAATGGAGATCAATGCTGCAGCTCACAGCGGGGTCAGAGCTCTGCTCCATGTCCTCGAGAACTGTTCACACCTTTCTCCTGTTGAATGTATTTTGGTTAAACTTCTGTGCCTCCAAGGAGAAAACAGAAACCCTTAAAACAACTTCCACAGTCAGCTCATGTGGCTCGGGACAAGACAGACTCATTTGACATCCTTTGATTTCTGGCTCACTGCACTCCACCTGTAAAAACCTTTGAAATTCTCTGCATGCACTGTGCTCTCTGCCTCTGACCTCAGGGCTTTTGTCCATGCAGTTTCTTCTGCCTAGAACATTCTTCTCTCCTCCTGGTATTTCTCCAGGGGTCTTTCAATTTTTCAGCTTAAGCATCAAATGTTCAATGAAAACTTCCCAGATTCTCCAAATGAAGATAGTCCTTATTCCACTTTTTCTTTGCCTCTCTTTGCATACATGAGCATTATGGACTAAACCCTGGGCCTTGGCCTACCACTGCACCCAGCCCCATACATTCATGACACACTGTTCTCCTCTGTGACAGCACAGACTGATTACTCATGCAATTATTTAACTTGATGTCATTCTAAACCCCATGAGAGCAAGGACAATCTTGCCTTACTCACCGTGCACAGAAGGTTCCTTGCTCAATGCATGACTGGTACTCAGGAAACATCCGTGGGCTTGATGAATGAACTTCCTCCGCACCACAGCTGGACAGAGCTGCCTGGGGGACTGAGAACTGTGTGACTAAAGCTGGGGCACCTGAATTGAAGAAGCACTGGGGTGGACTGCAGACCCTGCTTGCCACCAGCCTTTAAGGTCTCGGTTTGCAAAATTTTCAGGATATCAGCCAAGACTCCTAGGGGCTGAGGTTTGATTCTTTCAGCAGAGAGGAATGTAGCACTTGGGAGAAAGGGGAAGAGGGTGGATACACCTATGTGGGAAGGGCCGCTGCAAGAGAGGAAGAAGGAGGGTGCAACATGAAGGCCTGGCTGAGGCTTCCAGGATCCCCAGGTCTTGAGTCTCCACCACTATGAGGACTTCCTGCTTCTGACTGCCTTCGGTAGAATCTTAGAATATTCTTTCAATCCTTACCAAAAAATTTCCTGGAGTACCAGGCCAGCAAAAAGACTGAGAGAGGTTTTAAAGAGGGTGGCAAGGGTGGCATGGGTGGTTTCCTCAGCATGAGGTTGTAGGTGTGCCCTCGTTGTGCACTGAGATAGCCAGGAATCCTGGGAGCACAAATCCTGACCTGCACACTGATAAATACCTGCTCTACTCACTTGTGTTTAATATGCCACTGATGATGCCTGCTTCCAGGATTCCTGCCTTTGTACACTCTGCCTCAAAGGTCCACAGAGCAGTTCTGAGAGCAAGGTCACTAGAACCCAGAGGCCCATAATGTCCCTCTCCTGCAGCTAGCAGGCTTAAGATCCCATTGTCAGCCTTGGACTCCCCAGCCTTAAAGAGCAGGATCCTGATGAGTTTCTTCCCTGCCTGAGTTATTTTTGAGTCTTCTGTGCACAATCTTATCCCTCGTTTCCAGGAATTGCATTGGCACCCGAGGCTCTTGCAAGCTGCAATTTACTAGAACAAAATCAAATCCCTAGTCAGATTCAAAAAGCAATGAAATAAATAGAATTGCATTTTTCATTTTGCGTCAAGACTGGGAGACACGCCCATGCACAGCTCCAATGCCCGTTGTTTGTCATTCTTTTAGAAGGACTGTTGGTCAGTCAGAGGCTTTCCTTTAAACGGGGACGCTGGGGAAAAGAGGCAAACAAAAGTCCCTTTCCTTCCCAGGGCTTCTGAAGCCAACTGCTCCCCTTGGTATTTGTTTCTTCAGCCTGCAGACTGCCCCTCCCCAAACCTTTCCCCTACTTGTTTTCTTCAGGAAAGAGTAGGAACTGAGCATGTAGGAAAGCAGGTTTCCATGGAAGAGCTGGCTGTGTGCTTTCCAGAGGATGGAGAGGGCCTTTCCGATCACTGTGGGGTGCTACCTCTCCCCACAGCAGGCTAGAGCTCAGAGTCCACGGCACAGGTGGTGCCGAGGGCCTTCACTGCCTTTTTCCTTTTGTGCTGTCTCGTTCTGTATGCTGACTTCACCTGGACATGGCCTCGCTTCCTCAGGACGTGGTGGATGGTCTTGGGACGTCCAGGTTGTTAGCAGTGTTTCTGGCCTCAGCTCCACCCTGCACTGTACAGCTTACTTCTCCATGGCGAGAAATAAGACTTAGCTCTCTTCTTTTATAGCTCACGGTGGGTCAGGCTCTGGCCATCAGTCAGAACAAGGTGACCATTTTTCTCTTTGAGTACTCTGGGGGTTGGAGGATGACACTTGTGACATCACAGAGTCTAACTGAAGATGCTGAGGCTCAGAGAGACTTAGTACCTAGCTCAAGGTCACACAGCAAATTAGACCCAATGTCTCTGAGTTCTCTGTCTATTTGATCCACAAAGCCCAAGATTCAAGTGAGCCCTTCTGAGCTGTGTCCTTGGCAGGGGGAGCAGAATGAGATGTCTGGCAGAGCTGAGCTCTGTGGCAGAATGACAAATGGCTCCCTTGTATTGCTAGGAAGTGGGTTCTGGGAACCAGGGCAGCAGGCAGAGTCATTTGTCCACCTCCCAGTCACCAATGCAGGGAGTGACAAGGAGCAGGCTATGGGTTTCCTGACTCATTACTGGCAGGGACTGCCACTGGGCAACCAGCACTTCAAACAGAAAGTCTAGCTGTTCCTGAGGCCGAGGCTAGGCAAAGAGCATCCTTTTCATGGAAACTGCACCAAAAGCCAGAGCATCTCAACCTTGCAATTTCTCATATCTAGATACATGTAATCTCTTAAGCACTGTAATATTCAGGCTGTGGTTAGATGAATTCTCATTCCCAGATGATGAGAGGGCGCTCAGCAAGGGGCTGTCAAAGCCGTAAGGCATTTCTACTGTCTTCAGAATTCCCTTTCTAGAAATGTACCTACGAGAGAGCAGCGATGGAGACAAAGATATATGCTGTAGTACTAAATTAGATCCAGTCCTAACAGTCCACCATTAAGATGAAGCAGTAGACTGTGGTGTCTCCATCTGGTAAATTATGAATCATTAGAAAATTATGGAAAGAATTCTAATGAAAATAGAAAATGCTGGTGACAGTGTGAGATGAGAACATCAAGACACACAGCTGTGGATGCAGTGACCTTCCAGGCACTAAGCTGCACTTTCATCTCTGTGACTGTGCTCATAACAAGTACGATTTATTCTTTAAATCATGTGCATGTGTGTGTTTCTTTGTGTATGCGCCTGTGAGTGCAGGTGCCCATAACAGCCAGAAGAGGGCAGTGGATGCCCTGGAGCTATGTGCGGTGTCTGACATGGTGCTGGGAACTGCACAACCATCCTGTGAAAGACAATTATATACTCTTAGCTCATGAGAGGTCTCTCTAGCCTTCCTCCCCCAATGGCTATGCTTTTATCTCTACTTAATTTTGGAGCGGGGAAGAGAAGAGAGAACACATCAAATGTGAATAGTGTTTTCTTTCTGAAAGGGAGCCATTGGTGGAATTAAAGAGTTTCCCCAATTTTTCATGCTGGTTTTTCTGACATCTTTTTTTTTTTCTTTTCTAATTGTCTACATCTCCCTCCCTGCCAGCAGGAGTCACTTGAGTTTGCAGCCCCTGGGGTAGACGCTAGAAGAGGGCCCTGGGTCCTCAAGCTCCCAAGCCCTCTGCAACTTTGGGCTCACTCACTAGCTCCGTTTCATCCCTGTACTCGAGGCCCCACGAAGAAAATCCTGCCCTTCTCCTACTTAAGTCTTCCCACACCTGCCTATCTCAGCCCTGTGACGCCTCAGGTCCCTTCAGTGCAGTCTGAGTACACCCGACTTAACATCCTCACTTCAACCAGCCCTCTCTGCTGCTTTCCTTGGAGCAGAGTGTGTTGTGCATCCATCTGCCTCCCATTTCCAGGTGCCCTGAATAGTGTTCTGTGTAATCAGTCAAAGACTCAGAGAGGTTCAGGCTGTTGTCCAAGGTCACACAGCTAACAAGAGAAGCAGAACTGACCCCAGAACTCAGGACTTCTTCCTCCCAAATGCCCATAGGCTTTCTCTGCACTGGCTATCTCAGTGTGGGAGAAATTCGGGATGTTTTATGTATTTGAAAGGCTCAGGACAGTAGCCCCATTGATAAAAAAATAATGGATATAGCTGATGGAGATGACTGAGGGGATGGCATTTAGAAACATTCCTGGGTTATCTGCAAAGCTAATCCCTGCCTTGGGCATCCTCTTGGAGGCCAGGGAAGCCCACTTGGGCAAGCACTCCTACACATGCAAGTGACTGAGCTCACTGGCACTAATCTCTGTGTCATGTGGCCACAGATGCACTCACAATTCCGGCCCCAGCTCTGGGGCTTACTTGCCCGCGTGACCTTGGGCAAGTTAATCACTCTCATCCTGGTTCCTTATTTGTAAAATGCTCATGGCTATAGTTTCTAGACTCACAGGACCGTGGAGAGGACTGATGGGGTGAATCCGTGTGGAGTGCTCACAGTCGCCCCAGGCACACCTCAAGCCTGACACAAACACCATGCATCTGTGACTGCCAGTTTTGTTCCACGATGTGGACAAAGAGACACAGCGTTGATTATTGGGAGACTTGACTCTGTCCTAACTCTGTCTCTTCCTCTCACTGTGCCTGGCTGTCTCCCTCCACACCTGCTCTCCCCACCCTACCCAGGTGTGGGCTCTGGGTTGTTGTGTATTCATCCAGGGAAATTCTGCCCTGTTGCTTCTTTGACTGCCCAGGGGGCTAAGTGTCTTGAGTAGATGGAAGACTGAGGGGAGTCACAGCTTCCTCATGTACCACTTCTCAATGAGCAGCCTGGCTGTTGTCTGTGTGCTGAGTAACAGTCATGGGCCTGTCTTGCCCTCCAGGGGCCAGCTCTACTCCATTTGGCAAAGTCCAAAACCCAACTCCAGTGGAGCTTTGGGTGAATTCGTCATTCCCCAGTCCTGGAGAGACTCAGTTACTATACACTTCAGAGTGGTGGTCTGTAAACAGATGCAGGCAGTTGGGTGATCCAAGCTGGGGTGCTGGGGAGAGGGGGCCAAGAGAGGCTGAAGAGAGGATGTGACTTCAAACCAGGAAGGTCCACAGGAAGTGACCAGAGCTGGGAGAATAATGATCCTCAGAAGACAGTCCTCACCAGGACAGAGACCATCCACTGAGGGGGTGGCATGTAAGGTTGGTAGGAGGGTTCCAGGGGAGGAACTAACCACAGGACCTTGGCTCAGCTCTGGTGAGGGAGTGGGAAGCAAGAACCATTTTCCCTGGGGCAGGCTTGAAAGAGCTGTCCCCAAAGCCCTGAGGTGTTCCTGATCAGGCTCCCTGTGGGACTGCTGGGTGTCCCCCTCTAGTCCAGCCTCCAGGATTTCCCACTGCACAGAGGAGCTGTCAAGCCCAGCTCTGGCCAGCTGCACAAACAGCAGGGGCTTGGAGCCTGAATGCAGGCTGGGGATTGTGCGGAGGGGTATCAAGCCGATCAGTGCCTGGGGCAGCCCCTTCCACAAAGTGTGCAGCCCGGCCTCCCTGAGCTTCTCAACTCCACGCCATCTGCTCTGTCAGACTCCCTGTTTAAATTCTCCACGTGTCTTGCCTTGCACAAAATAATTAGCATCCATTTGTTCCTAGTGCTCGCTCTGCGACATTACTCATTGCAGGAGCTTTCAGCGCGGCTCACAGACGCTTCCATTTCAACGCAAAGTTGAAAATGGCTTAAGTGGGACTCCGCGGGTCCCACTCACTTCGGCTAGCAAACCAGCATCTGGCTCCGGCTTTCATTTCCTCCCATGTGGTTCTTAGTTGCCTTCCGCAGGGCCTAATGGTGAGAAGGGAAATGAGGCACTTGGGCAAGAGGAAAAGCTGGCTTCCTTGGATGTCTCGGATGCTGAAAAATCAATCTAGGAGTGTGTGACTTGGGGTAGACGTTTCAGGAGGCAGCCACTTGGGCCCTTCCGCAGGCACTGGACTTTGGTAAGAAGATGCATATGGGTTGAGTAGCGAAGGAGCCTGAGGCACGCCACCCCAGCTCAGGCATGAAAAAGCTTTGTGCCATCTGCAACTAGCACGGCCCATCACAGAGCAAGCACCAAGCTACCCAGGTGGTGCAGAGTCCTTTGGCTTTTCCGGAGAGGAGTGCTTCTTGCTTTCTGAGAACTCAACTAGCTACTCCAGTCAGATTGCAGATTCCTGCCAGCCAAGCCAAGGAGGAGCCTCTTGGATGCCCTATGGGGACAGCTTGAACTTATCAGCCAGCCTTGTCTCCTGCTCTCTGCTCTGCAAAATGATGTCACAAGGTGTTCAATCCTTTAAGCCAGTGGTTCTCAACCTTCCCAATGCTGTGACCCTTTAATACAATTCTTCATGTTGTGGTGACAGCCAACCATAAAATTATTTCCATTGCTACTTCCTAACTGTAATTTTGCTACTACTATGAGTTTTAATGTAAATATCTGTTTTCCGATGGTCTTAGACAACCCCTGTGAAAGTGTCATTGGACCCCCCCAAAGGAGTCGAGAACCGCAGGTTGAGAAATCACTGTTCTAAGCTCTTCCCCACAGGCAGATGTGAAGGTCCCACCAGAAATAGGGGTGACAGATGAAGAGAGCTACTTCATGGCCTCTCCTCACCCCATGTGTAAAACATGTAGAATGCCCAGGTTGGACCAGATGATCTCTAGGGGATTTATCACACCCTGTTTCTCCCAGGGAGGGGGGGGAACTGTGTGTTTTATGCATGTGCTTAATATCCTCACAGGGAGTCCAGCATGGGGTGGTGCCGGTGGATACTGGATTGCCACCACGGTGTGGGGCAGCAGCACGCTGCTGATCTGAGTGTAGGGATGACATGGTTTATCTTTCTAACCTGCGGGGATTTAAATTCCTTCTCATTTCCAACGGTGAGCTGAAATCCCCTCCTTGCCTGTTTCACAACCATCTTAGGGGGACATCAAGCAAGAAAATTACTATAGAAATGCCTTGGGAGATAGTGTTGGGGCTTCACTTCTCAAAACAAACAAACAATAACATCCCCCCCTCCAAAAAAAACCCAAAATACAAACAAACAAACAAACAAAACTACAAAATCCAAAGATTTAATAGTGGTGAAGCCTCCTCCTTGCTGGACTGTCTCTTACTTCTCTTTATAGACAGCCCATCATCAATCCCTTCCTTAAGATTGTTTACATATTCCATACCTGCACATGAGCTGTGGCATATGAAACAAAAAAGACACACATTTATAAAATATGAATGGATTTTAGAAAAATTCAGCCAATATCCATTCCTTCTTCCTTCCAAGACCACTCTCCCACCCAGTTGGTGCCAGGCTTGGCTGTAGCTTGCTCTGGCTAACAGAATGTTAGAGATATGACATGAACAAGGATTTGAGATGTGTTTCCTTAGAGATTCCTCTCACTCTCTGCCATGATCATGAGAGGAAAAGCAAGCCCCAGACAGAT